GATAAGAAATGTACTCATTATCTTGCCCATGTAATTGTAACCCCTCTGTAAAAAAAAGAAAGAAAGAAAGAAACCGTATTGCATTGTTAGTAGAAATATAAAGTAGTAAAACCATTCTGAATGGTGGTTTGGAGATACCTCAAAAAATTAAACAAAGACTACGATCCAGCCATACCACTCTTGGCCATCTTCCCAGAACATCACAAGTCAGAATATGGTGAAGATACTTGCACATTTATGTTCATTACTGCACTACTCACAATAGCCAAGTTATGGAAACAATCCAGATGCTCTACAACAGATTGTGAATTTAAAAAAATGTGTTGCATAAAATCAAGAACTCTAACAACAACAGATACTGGAGGGGATGTGGACAGAAAGGAACCTTACTTCATTGTTGGTGGGAATGTAAACTTGTTCAACCACTTTGGAAAGCAGTATGGAGGTTCCTCAAAAGACTTCACATAGAACTCCCCTATGACCCAGCAATCCCACTTTTGGGCATTTACCCTAATGTTTACAAAAAAGACCACACTAAAGCTACCAGCACAACTATGTTTATTGCAGCATTATTTACCATAGCTAAGATATGGAACCAACCCAGATGCCCCTCAGTAGATGAATGGATCAAGAAAATGTGGTATATATACACAATGGAATTCTATGCCTCCATCAGAAAGAATGACATTTCCCCATTTGTTAGGAAATGGAAAGGCTTGGAAAAAATTATATTAAGTGAAGTAAGCCAGGCCCAAAGAAACATAGGTCCCATGGTTTCCCTTATTTGCAATATCTAGTATAGGTATGAGTCAAGCGGAAAAGGTCAGATAACGTGATGTTAGGAAAACGAACCCTTAAATATGTATTTTAATGTTTTTTTCTTTCATGCATGTGTTTCTAACGCATTTATAAGATTATTTCTTTGTTGCTTTGTATGTCCCTCCCCCACAGTGTAACCCCCGCTTTCACTATATATGATGTCAGTATAACTTGTGGAGGAGATGGGGACAAACAAGTCGTTTAAGGATTCAGGTGGACCTGTTGCAACAATGAGAAGTACAAAATGTCATGTCAAAAACGAGCTTTACAATGTCGGTGTGTGGGGGGGGGAAGGGTTGGGTGGAGGGGAGGGGGGAGGCTGGGAAGGGAGGTGAAGGGTAAACAAAGGAGGAGGCTGCAATGCTTGGTAAGAAATGTATGCATTATCCTGCCCAAGTAATTGTAACCCCTCTGTACAGTATGTTCTCAAATAAAATAAAATAAAATTTAAAAAAAAATGTGTTGCATATACACAATGAATTTGGTCATCCACCAAAAAGAATAACATTGTGTCATTTTCAAGGAAATGGATGGATCTAACACAGATCATGTTAAGTAAGGTAAACCAAGGTCAGAGAGACAAATAGCACATTTTCTTCTCATATGTGAAAGCAAGATCTAAAATATAACTCTGGCTTAATTTCCAAGCTACTTGGTATAATAATGTCTAGCAAGCAAATGTACAAAATCTAGTACTCATCTACACAACCATAACATACTTTTCTCTACCAGTAATCCATCTTCTTGAATAAGAAGTAAGACATAGAGCATGTCGGCACCAGTGGTTCATGCCTTTAATCTTGACTACTAAAGAAACTCAAATCTGGCTCAAATGGTAAAGTATTGGCAGAGCAAACAAGCCAAACAAAGCAATCACAAAGACATAAGATCAAACTTCAGTGCCATTAAAAAAAAAAAAAAAAGAAAAGGAAGGGGCTGGGAAAGTGGCTCCGTGGTAGAGTGTTTGCCTCGCAAGCATGAGGTCCTGCGTTCAATTCCTCAGCACCACATAAACAGAAAAGGCCGAAAGTGGCACTGTAGCTCAAGTAGTAGAGCACTATCCTTGAGCTGAAGAGCTGAGGGACAGTGCCTAGGCCCAGAGTTCAAGCCCCACAACTCACAAAAAAAAAAAAAAAAGACCGGAGAAAGCTATGTGCTAAGGACGCAGGAAGCCCTAGATTTAATCTCTACTGGTTACTAAAAAAAAAAAAATACAGTAGGACAGTCCATTAAATTTAAGGGAAAATATAATGAACACACACTAGAACATACTATACAGAGACTCTTAGATTTCTGAAACTCCATAATCAAATTATTCAAACTTCAACTGATCCACAGAGCAAAGAATGCTATCAAACACATTGAATCATGAGTAGAGACTACATACAATTTTGGACCATTTGAAAATGCTGAAGACTTTTAATTTAACCACTCAATACTTTTCTATCTAGGCAGCAATGGTTTGGCCATTAATTCTTAGTATACTCCAGCGTCTCTACATTTTTGAGAAGGCAAAGTAATAATCATTTTCCTCAATAACTGAAATCACTAAGATTTATTGAGCATAACTAAAAGGGAAATGGCCAACTCTCTGAAGACTATAGACAGAAAGAGAGAACAAGATGCATGCCCTCTCTGTTAGGATCCCTGCAAACTGCAGAGTAGTGTGTTCTGAATCAACCAAATACTTGATGAGTTAGGAATCTGCGAATATAAAATGAATTATAATGACACCATTAAAAACTTTTAAATGGGCCAGGCACCGGTGGCTCACACCTGTAATCCTAGCTACTCAGGAGGCTTAGATCTGAGGGTCATGATTCAAAGCCAGTATGAGCAGGAAAGGCCAGGAAATTCTTATCCCCAATTAACCATCAGAGAACCAGAAGTGGTGCTGTGGCTCAAGTGGTAGAGTGCTCATCTTGAGCTGACAGAGCTGAGAGACAGCACCCAGGCCCAGGGTTCAAGCCCCATGACCAACAAAAAAAAAAAAAACTTTTAAAAGGGACCTATGCTTCTTTGGGCCTGGCTTTCTTCACTTAGTATAATTTTTTCAAAGTCTTTCTATTTCCAAACAAATGGGGCGGTGTCATTCTTTCTGATGGAGGCATAGAATATATGTATGTGTGTGTGTGTGTGTGTGTGTGTGTGTGTGTGTGTGTGTGTGTATACACCACATTTTCTTGATCCATTCATCTACTGGGGGCATCTGAGTTGGTTCCATATCTTAAATATGAAAACTTCAGGAAGTGGGATAGGTTGGGGAGGTGGGGAGAGAAGGGATGATAGCAGAAAAACAAAGGAAGGGGTAACAATGCTCAAGAGGAAATGTACTCATTACCTTACTCATGTAACTGTAACCCCTCTGTACAGTATCTTTACAAAAAAAAAATTTTTAAGAAAAAAACTTATAAATTGGAAAGAAAGGAGAAAGATGGGTTAATAAAGAGCAATAGAAAGTAAATTTGATCAGAGTACTATAGGATGGATGGATAGACAGATAGACAGACAGACAGAATACAATGAAATACCTTTGTACAATTCATTTATGTTAATAAGAAACCAGAAAATAAAATAAATTAAGTTAATCTTAGTGCATTCATAATCTCTTGGAAGAGATTATATACATCTGATTTTGGTATTTTGATAAAAATGTTTAGTTGAATATAAAGAAACACAGCAGGAGAATGGTATTATAACATTAAGTAGACTAATTGAGTAAGGAAAGTGGAACTTTGGAAAGCTTTACAGATTGCAAAATCTCAGAGCTGGACATTATAGGATGTATAGAAGTTTATTAATAGAAAACAAAAAAGGAACATTTAAGTAAACATAAGTTAAAAATTTTTTTAATTTTATTTTATTTTATTTGAGAACATAAGTTAAAATTTCATAGGCCAAACATATGTAAGATACAAAAATATGTGTTTTAAAAGCCCATAGTATTCTGATATGACTCAATTGAGAAAACTAAAAGTAAAAAGTAAAAGAAGCAGTTAACATGCAAAAGGAAAGGGGAAAGGAGCTTAGATGCTATGATAGGAAGCTAGACTTCATTCTGAAAATACAGGAGACATTGATGTTTTTTGAATAAAGAGCAGTTGAAAAGAACAGATCAATATTTTATAAATTAAAATATGATCATGTGAAAGCTAGATTATTAGAGAATTGAGACAGAATGATCAGATACAAAATAGCTAAAAAAGGAAACTTCCAAAATTATCAGATCTATAGATTATAAACCCTGATTCCCTTCCACTTAGGTAATATTGTTTTATGTACTTTAAAAAAGAAAAGAGTATGTATTTTAAATACTCTATAAGGGAGGACATTTACTAATTCATTTCCCTACTTATTCCAAATCAGAGAAGTTTTACTGTGTACATCTTTGACTTAATCTGCATTTCCAGTCTTGAAATTTTGTACCAATGTCACTAAAATTACTTCCACACTGTTATCTCAGGATAAATTGCAAGGGGGAAAAATTAACTTGCTACACATTAAATATGACCCAATAAAGTAACTGCCATAGGGTTTTCATTTTTATTCTTATCATTACAAGTTCTTCCTGTAATTCACTGCAACTTTTTTCATTATACTGGAATATCTTTGAAAGGTCTATAATTACTTTCTTCTGTTCCTCAATCTCTTCATTTAGTTTCCTGTTTTGGGAGAAATACTCTCTTTCTAATCTGAAAAGTTAAAGTGTCATATCATAATTTTCAACTATTACTATATACCTTTAAAACAAGTGGCTGATGTATATCATGATTGCATGCCAAAATTTATTTTAAATCCCACTGTGGAGAGCTGCGGGAGCCGACCAAAGATGGCACGGCCGCATGGCACGGCCAAGCCAAAGATGGCGCTGGCTTCCGCCTTCCGCCTTCCCGATGGCGAGTGCTCTCTGTGAAAAACAACTCCTTATATGGCTATGACTTGGCTCCTAGTTTGCTTCCGTGTTTGCAGCCCTATTGGTATATGCCACGTGGCACCTCGGGATTGGCCATCCAGGAGGCTTATAACTGGAGTGCGGGTGCGGGGCGAGTGAGAAGCTAATAATCAAGGTTCCTGAATAAACTGCTTTGAGAAGAATCCCGGGTCGTGTCTTCCTTGCTGGTCGAGGTGGATGCGACAAGTGGTGGCCCGTACGGGGATTCTTCTCGCCCCCTGCACCTGAGCTGGGGCACCGAGCTCTGGGATCAGTTTGACAACCTAGAAAAACACACGCAGTGGGGAATTGATATTCTTGAAAAATACATCAAATTTGTAAAGGAAAGGACTGAGATTGAACTCAGCTATGCAAAGCAACTCAGGAATCTTTCGAAGAAATACCAACCGAAAAAGAACTCAAAGGAGGAGGAAGAATACAAGTACACGGCATGCAAGGCCTTCCTTTCCACCCTGAACGAGATGAGCGACTATGCTGGGCAACACGAGGTCATCTCTGAGAACATGACATCCCAGATCACTGTGGACCTGGCCCGCTATGTCCAGGAGCTGAAGCAGGAGAGGAAATCGAACTTTCACGATGGGAGGAAGGCACAGCAGCACATTGAGACCTGCTGGAAGCAACTTGAATCAAGTAAGAGGCGGTTTGAGCGGGACTGTAAGGAGGCGGACCGGGCACAGCAGTACTTTGAGAAGATGGACGCTGACATCAATGTGACAAAGGCAGATGTTGAGAAAACACGGAAGCAAACTAGGAGCCAAGTCATAGCCATATAAGGAGTTGTTTTTCACAGAGAGTACTCGCCATCAGGAAGGCGGAAGGCGGAAGCCAGCGCCATCTTTGGCTTGGCCGTGCCATGTGGCCGCGCCATCTTTGGCCAGCTCCCGCAGCTCTCCACATCCCACTTTTCCTTTTTTTAATTAAAAGAATTATACTTTCTTAAATGGCAGACTTAAAGAAATAATACTTCTGCTTGGATAGCAGGCATTTGTACTATGTCTCATGTTACAGGCAAAACAGATTTGGGTACTGTTGGTGTAATCATCATTATTTTTGACAAACAAAACCCATTCACCACAGATTAGTTCAGAAACTCCCTCTGGGCTAAGAAAATCCTAAGAAAATGATTAAGATTAAGAAACCATTTTTAAATTAATGTACAACAATATCAATGGAACAAATACTTTATTCCTGAAAGTCTACTCAAGTACTAATGTGGTAGAATAGAAATCCAAAAGGAAGAATAATTAAAACATATTAGTGTTACCTTTAAAGACAAATGAATTTCTTTTTTATAAGTTTTTATTGTGAAAATACTATACAGAGGGGTTACAGTTACATAAGCAAGTTAATGAGTACATTTCTTATCAAGCATTGTTGCCTCCTCCTTTGTTTTTACAAATGAATTTCTTTTCAAAATAATCGACTTCCTATTTCAATGTTGCTCAGACTGATATTAAACTATGTTTAGATTCTTGTGTGGACATATGATGAAAGACAACCTATCAATATCATAGCTTAAAATTTACTGAGATAATGCACCAAATGTATAACTTAACTCAAATAATGTTGCCACTATTTTAACTTGCAGTCTTCCTACTAACTGTGGTAGACTAATTCTCTTTTATTTTTAGCCTGTAATATAGAACAGAAGATGATTTGGTATAAACAAATCCACAGTCCAGCTATAATCAATTCTTTTTTTTTTTTGTCAGTCGTGAGGCTTGAACTCTGGGCTTGGGCGCTTGTCCCTCAGCTCTTCAGCTCAAGGTGAGCGCTTGAGCCACAGTGCCACTTCCAGTCCAGCTACAATCAAATAAGGACCTAATTTTTTAAAGATCACCTGACTTCACTTGAACAGGTGAGGGGGGGGCAATACAAACAATTCTAGGGCAAACTAATTCTTTCATGTATTTTCTTTTTTTTTTTTTTTTCACCTTTTCTTTTTTTTTTTTTTTTAATTTTATTTTATTTTATTTGAGAACATACTGTACAGAGGGGTTACAATTACATGGGCAGGATAATGCATACATTTCTTACCAAGCATTGCAGCCTCCTCCTTTGTTTACCCTTCAACTCCCTTCCCACCCTCCCCCCTCCCCCCCCACCCAATCATACCCCCCCTCCCCCCCCATTCCGACATTGTAAAGCTGGTTTTGACATGACATTTTGTACTTCTCATTGTTGCAACAGGTCCACCTGAATCCTTAAACGACTTGTTTGTCCCCATCTCCTCCACATGTTATACTGACAACAAATATAGTGAAAGCGGGGGTTACACTGTGGGGGAGGGACATACAAAGCAACAAAGAAATAATCTTATGAATTCGTTAGAAACACATGCATGAAAGAAAAAAAAACATTAAAATACATATTTGAGGGTTCGTTTTCCTAACATCACATTATCTGACTTTTTCCGCTTGACTCATACCTATACTAGATATTGCAAATAAGGGAAACCATGGGACCTATGTTTCTTTGGGCCTGGCTTACTTCACTTAATATAATTTTTTCCAAGCCTTTCCATTTCCTAACAAATGGGGAAATGTCATTCTTTCTGATGGAGGCATAGAATTCCATTGTGTATATATACCACATTTTCTTAATCCATTCATCTACTGAGGGGCATCTGGGTTGGTTCCATATCTTAGCTATGGTAAATAATGCTGCAATAAACATAGTTGTGCTGGTAGCTTTAGTGTGGTCTTTTTTGTAAACATTAGGGTAAATGCCCAAAAGTGGGATTGCTGGGTCATAGGGGAGTTCTATGTGAAGTCTTTTGAGGAACCTCCATACTGCTTTCCAAAGTGGTTGAACAAGTTTACATTCCCACCAACAATGAAGCAAGGTTCCTTTCTGTCCACATCCCCTCCAGCATCTGTTGTTGTTAGAGTTCTTGATTTTTGCTGTTCTAACTGGAGTGAGGTGATATCTCAATGTTGTTTTGATTTGCATTTCTTTTATGGCTAGGGATGTTGAACATTTCTTCATGTGTCTATTGGCCATCCTTCTTTCTTCTTCAGAGAAGCTTCTCTTTAAGTCTTTCGCCCACTTACTTATTGGGCAGTTGTTTCTTTGAGGATTTGTTGTTGGGTGGTTTAATTTTTTGAGTTCCAAGTATATTTTAGATATGAGACCCTTGTCCGTTGTATGGCTAGTAAAGATCTTCTCCCAATCCGTGGGTTTTCTATTGATCTTGCTAGCTATGTCATTTGCCCTGCAGAAGCTCTGCAACCTTATGCAATCCCATTTGTCCAACCTTTCTTTGATTTGTTGTGTTTCCGGGTCTCTATTCAGAAAATTTCGGCCTGAGGCAAGGAGACCCAGGGTTTCTCTTAGTCCATCCTGTAATGTTTTCAGAGTATCTGCTTTGAGTTCAAGGTCTTTGATCCATTTGGAGCTGATTCTGGTGCAGGGTGATATATAAGGATCTAGCTTTAGTTTTCTACATGTAGTTAACCAGTTTTGCCAGCACCATTTACTGAAGAGGCTGTCTGTCTTCCATTCTATTGTTTTAGCTCCCTTATCGAAGATTAGATGGCTATAGGTCTGTAGGTTCATTTCTGGGTTTTCAATTCTATTCCATTGGTCCTGAGGTCTGTTCTTATGCCAATACCAAGCTGTTTTGATTACTATGGCTTTATAGTAGAGTTTGAAATTTGGTATTGATATTCCTCCAGCAGTGTTCTTTCCGTTGAGGAGCGTTTTTGCTATTCGGGGTCTTTTATTGTTCCATATGAATTTTTGGATTGCCTCTTCTATTTCCTTGAAGAATGAGGGTGGAATTTTGATAGGTATTGCGTTGAATTTGTAGATAGCCTTGGGAAGTATTGCCATTTTCACGATGTTAATCTTTCCAATCCAGGAGCATGGGAGGTTTTGCCATTTTTTAAGTTCTGTGTTGATTTCCTTTTTCAAGATTTTAAAGTTTTCATCATAGAGGTCCTTCACTTCTTTAGTTAAGTTAATTCCTAGGTATTTTATTTTTTGTGGGGCTATTACAAATGGAGTTGCTTTCCTAATTTCAGCCGCACTTTTCTCATTGTTGGCATACAGAAAAGCCACTGCTTTTGGGGGGTTAATTTTATAACCTGCTACTTTGCCAAAGTTTTGAATCAGCTTGAGTAATTTGGGAGTGGAGTCTATGGGATTCTTTAAATACAAGATCATGTCATCTGCAAAGAGGGAGAGTTTTATTTCTTCTTTCCCTATTTGGATCCCCTTTATGTCTGCATCTTGTCTTATTGCTGTAGCTAGGCATTCTAATAGTAGATTGAAGAGAAGTGGAGAGAGGGGGCATCCTTGTCTTGTTCCTGAGTTAAGGGGAAATGGCTTTAGTTTTTCACCATTGAGTATAATGCTGGCTGTAGGTTTGTCATATACAGCCTTTATTGTATTGAGGAATGTTCCATGGATTCCTAATTTTTCCAAAATCTTCATCATAAAGGGGTGTTGGATCTTGTCGAATGCTTTTTCTGCATCTATTGAGATAACCATGTGGTTCTTATTCTTGCTCCTGTTGATGTGATGAATAATATTAATTGATTTGCGTATATTGAACCAGCTTTGCATCCCTGAAATGAATCCTGTTTGATCGTGGTGTATGATTTTTTGGATGAATTGTTGAAGTCGGTTGGCCAAAATTTTGTTGAGAAGTTTTGCATCAATGTTCATCAAAGAAATGGGTCTATAGTTCTCTTTCTTTGATGAGTCCCTGCCTGGTTTTGGGATGAGGGTTATGATGGCTTCATAGAATGTGTTCGGTAGTGAGCTTTCTCTTTCAATTTCATTGAAGAGTTGGAGGAGAATTGGTGTGAGCTCTGCTTTGAAGGCCTTGTAAAATTCTGGTGTAAAACCATCTGGTCCTGGACTTTTCTTAGCTGGGAGGCCTCTTATTGCTGTTTCTATTTCAATGCTTGATATGGGCCTGTTAAGATATTTTAACTCATCTTGGTTTAGTTTTGGCATGTCAATATTTGCTAGGAAGAGGTCCATTTCTGTCAAGTTCTCAAACTTATTAGCATAAAGTTTTAAGAAGTATTCCCTTATAATGTTCTGAATCTTGGTTGTTTCCATGGTGATGTTTCCATTCTCATCTCTGAGTTTATTAATTTGGGTGTGTTCTCTTCTTTTTCTGATAAGATTTGCTAAGGGTCTTTCAATTTTGTTAATTTTTTCGAAGAACCAACTCTTTGTTTTGTTGATTCTTTCTATAGTTTTTTTGGATTCTAATTCATTTAATTCTGATTTAATTTTGATTATTTCTTTCCTTCTACTGGATTGGGGTTTATCTTGCTGCTCTTTTTCAAGGAGGTTTAGATGTGTCATTAAATTGTTAGTTTCAGATCTCTCCAATTTGTTGATGTAGGAGCTCAGAGCTATAAACTTGCCTCTGAGTACTGCCTTTGCTGTGTCCCAGAGGAGCTGGTATTTTGTGTGTTCATTTTTGTTGAATAGCATGAACATTTGAATTTCCTTTCTAATCTCTTCCATGACCCACTCATGATTCAGCAGTGTGTTGTTCAGGCTCCATGTGATACCGGACTTTCTTTGGTGGCTTTTGGTGTTGAGTTCTAATTTTATTCCCTTGTGGTCAGAGAGAATGCAAGGTATAACTTCAATGTTTCTGAATTTAGACAAGTTTACTTTGTGGCCTAAAATGTGGTCTATTTTAGAAAACGTTCCATGTGCTGCTGAGAAAAACGTGTATTCTGATGCTGCTGGGTGAATTGTTCGGTAGATGTC